TTGACATAAGTTGATGTATTTGAATTCAATATTTGGGGTAGCTACCCAAATTCGATCATGCCCAGTGCGGTAATCTTTGCAGTGTAGCCATGTAGCTTTATTCATGTTTGGTTTGAGCCTTCTGCACCTGACACACTGCGACCTTCCTTCGAGTGCAGAAAAATCTTTTGTGGGCCCACGTCAACCTTGTCTTGGACCGCATTTCTAGAAGTTGCCAAACGCAGACGCATCAATAAGTTTTGGATCATTATCGTATGTTTTGTCTCCATGCGAAACGAGTTAAACACATAGTTGGGGATGTTTTTTTAATTGGCCAAATCTTTATTTTTGCAGTTTGAACATATGAATCAGGTTAGTCTATGTTAATCTAGTTTTGTCAATCAGCTTCATCCCCGTATCTGTCCATTTTTTGGGCGTTTGACCATTCGACTTGGGCGTGCCAAGGATGGGGTTGCCGCTACGTCGTTCTCAAAGACTACGTGAAGAGCGCCAAGGCTCGGCTGTACGGGTCGTTCCTGTGGTTCCGGGGGGTCAATGTTATTAGATGATACAGATGTATGAAACCACAGGTTAACATCATTGTGGCTTCATACATCTATAATGTTATAGTTATAGTTATGTTATTCAATGTTAAACAAATGAAGCCAACATCATTGTTGGATATTTGCTGGTATGTTTTTGGGATCTATGAGTTGTTTGTTGTGACAAAGCGTGATAAGCGTGACAAACCATTGTAGCATGTGGGATATGTTTACGGGAGTATCTCATATCCCACCAATACAAATTGTGAATTTTGCGCAATCAATGTATCTGAGTGTTCGCGATGTCTAGAGAGGCAAAACTGCCGGGGCTGATTTCCAGCTTTGTAGCTGAAAGGGTATGCGCTTGGAACTATCAAGCCAACACCGTGGTTAGTTTGTGACTAGGCCAGTTGGAATCCAAGTGCTTCCGTAGAAAGTTACTGTATTTGGCGGCTCCGCACATAGTTGACTGTTGTTTGGAAACATTCCATTGTTTTTTTTCCGGAAAACTTGGTGCTGGCCTAATGTGAACTGAATGTGACATCATCATCATCATCATCATCATCAACATCAACATCAACATCGACATTAACATCATCAACATTATCAACATCATCAACCCTAAAACTTTTAAACCCTAAAACCCTAAAACCCTAGACTCCTTGAAAACTCCCTTGAATATAAACTTCAACGAGGGTGGGGTTTTGATGATTCCCTAGAAACTCTGTTGAAACATCTTCGAGATTCCCTTGAATATAAAGCTTAATAGGGGTTTGGGAATTTGATGGTTCCCTAGAAACTCTTTTGAAACATCTTTGAGATTCCCTTGAGTATAAAGCTTAGTATGGATGTGAGAATTTTATGATTCCCTAGAAACTCTTTTGAAACATCTTTAAGATTCCCTTGAATTAATGTCCTTTCAATCCCTGTAAAGTCGTGTGTGGGCGAAAGAGGGGGTTTGCGCGTAAAGGTACCCTGACAGTTGCAGCAATCGCAGCCTTTCCCATGTCCCAGGCCCATGGCAGTCGCCGCTTGGTGGTGAAATGTCTGACCTGTTCTCAGAATGTGGCGGTTCTTATCTCAGACTTTAAACTTAGAGGGGTGATGTTCAAAATTCATCAAAATCCACAAGAAATCCTCCATATGATTCCATATGTATGTGTGTATATATAATTATATATACGTATATATATATATATATATGAACAAATGATAGGACATTTACATAGATTTACCCTGCCCAGTCCAAAGGATAGCGATTTATTTGCAGATGTTCTAGGCTTTGGGAGATGGAGATGTAGTGGAAAAAACATCATTGTTTTTCAGTTGATGCAAGTTTGGTCGATGGTGCCATTCTGATCACTATATATATATATACATATACATATAGCCATTAGCCAATCACAATTTGCTGTTCAATACAATTGGGGTCTACAGTACAGTAGCATGGAAAGAAAGCAATTTTGCTGCTTACATCCCAGTTCTTTGTAGATGTTGCACCATTTTTAGAATGACTATCCTTAATTTCCGCATGTTCAAACGATTTTTGGTTGAACTTCCAATTTTCAAAGCATGAAATTACACCTCATTTTTTCAATTCATCTGAATTAACCCTTCTGTTCAGTATCGCACCCCATTGTTTTTGGTTGAGCTTCAGTCGGATTTTTTTTTTTTGAACCCCAATTTTCTCACCCTCAAATTGGTTGGTAAAACCAGCTTCGCCCCCCATGCTCAACCCTCACGGTTTTGATTACTAAAAAGTAATTTATTAACCATTGGACCATGACTGATATGTCCATTTAGCCCCATCTTAGACCTCCCCATGTTTCCTTTAATGGCCATTTAATGGCTATGTAACCATCAATCACCATCACTAATTATTCTTCCATGATCGTTCCACATAAAAATATTCCATATCTGGTTCTGAATGACGATATCCCTACAATATGTTAAACCATCATGACCATAATGATTAATGAACCTATATTTCACCACTCATAGTTTCATGATGGTTCATGAAATTCACTAATAGTTTCATTTTACCTCACCTTAGTGAAAATGGTTCAATATGGTCATGCTGGTTCATTATGGAGTGTTGTTTTTTCTCTTTCTCACCCCATAAAAGGTTGCCGTTTCGTTTCCTCACCATTAACCATTGCTAACCATTAAATTTACCATTAAGCACCATTAATCAACAATTAACCATCAAGCACTAGCCATTCTTAAGTCCCCATTGATGGTTGACAACTCAGGTGGCCGTTTCCATTGAGGTTTTATGCAGGTCCCTGTGGACGACGACCTGCCAGAGGTGGCCTGCGACTTTGTCAAAGCGCGCGGCGCGCGCTTTAACGAAGGCCGGCCTGGCTAAAAAAGCTGGTGAAAATCAGGGGGCGCATGGAAAACCCATCAATTGTTTTTTGGATATATGGGTATGGGTCAAAATATAATTGGATGGTTAATACTAAACTAGACTAACATCTGTGGTCCCACATCGGTCTTCCATTTTGACCCACATCCATATATATATATATAGGGATTATGATGGGAGTATAAGGCCAGCTTCGTGGGAAAATGATGCATCCTCTTGATGACTGAAATCCGATGTTGATTTGGGTCTGCACATTTGAATCATACTCAGCAACAACGAATAACTCAACCGCCTATGTCTTCAGTTTTGGAGATTTGAGCCCGCATGCAACTGGAATACCCCAAACAAGATAGAACAGTCATTTAATTACCACTATTTGATTGTATTCTTTTGCGGGGGTACTACATCCAAGAAAATCAGAAGCTTCTGGATTTGAAATTCACCAGCTGAAGTGGCAGGAGTGGTTTTCAAGGAGTATGTGGAACTGGTGCCCCTTAGCTGCAGCATGGGATGTCATTCCGTTATGGTTTTGATGCCACACCCTTATAGTTTTGGTCCATGATGTCAATCCCAGTAGAACCAGGAAGGCAGTTCTCATCCTGGCCACATGACTGCAACCCCCAAAAAGATACCACAATCTGTAATCAACAATGTAACCAGAACACAATCTATAAGACAGTGGTAAATTTATTTTCTATGTTTTGGTGGTTTACTTGCATATATATATATGCTACGTGGCATTCTGCAATTGCCATGGCCCACGGTGGTCTGGGAAACCACGAAGGTTTGTCCATGAAACTTCCAAACATACCAATCAAAATCGGTAAGGATCGTAGACAATGAATGTTCTTGTCTTTTTTCCTGACCCATAGGATCCATGTATGCTATATATGGTAACATGGATCCCATCAATATACCCCCAATGTTAGCATATATAGCATACATGGATCCTATGGGTGATGGCTTCTCATTTGTTCTTTTCATCTCACCCAACTCGGAAGTCCTTGTCGAAATGACTCGTTCCCCAAAGCGTTTTGAGGAGATACCCGGGCCGTGGTGATTTCACCACCAACGAATGGCGGCTCTGGTGCCTTGGATGGCGAACCAAAAAATTGGGTTTTCAAGTGCCATATGTTGATGATCAGAGGGTAGATATGTTAATCATATATGTTAGTATGATATATGTTAGATATATCATATATTAACATATCAGAGGGTAGATATATGTTAGTATCATTTAATATCAAATCTAATATCTACGTTTGAATTCATGTGATGCCTTGATGGTAAAAAAAATCTACGTATATATGTATGTGCTATTGAATTTTATTGTTAGATATTGACTATGTGTCACATTTTCTGAAAAAAAATCTACGTGGCATGATGATCCGGTGCAAAAAACAGAGGCTCGGGTGAGTTTTCGGGTGAGAAGGGGGAGTACTCAAGGAGCTACTGTATCCACTGAGAATTCCTTCCATCAAAATTCCGAGTGAGCGGAGTCCAAAGCAAAAACCATTGGCTGAAGATTTTGGCTCGTTATACTATCCAATATATTGGGGATTATCATAGGCCATGGGTTCTCATGGAATATCATGGGTTATCATGGATTATGATTCAATTATCATGGATTATCAAGCAACCCATGGACTGGGACTGCCTTCAGCTGCCACTGCTCAAGCGGCTCTGGATCCACTACGTAGAATCCCACAATTGTGTCAAGCTTGGCTACATCCATATTTTAGTACAGGTTGCGCTATACATGGATAAAACATGATAAAACAATAGATATACTACTAACCAGATAAACACCATTGTGTATGTCACTTTTTTGTGATTGTATACATACTAACCAGAAAAAACTACATAAAATGCAAGAGATAAGAGATTAACATCTAACAACAATCTTATCTTCTAATCCTAGCGATGCGCATATAAACATCTCAATGACAATATCTAAGATAATATTTAACTGGTTACTAATAGTGAGATCTACGATAAGTTCAACAATAATAATATCGATAATCATATCTAGATAATAGGATTATCAATATCATGACATATGATATCAATATCTAGATTATCATGAAATAACTTGTTAACAATATAGTAATAATCATAATGCCAATAAAACACATGCATTATTTCAAACAAAAAGCGATTGGCTGGTGACAGGTTCATGCACCAGAACTTGGTGGAGATTACGGCCAACTCCTTTCAGGTGGCACCCAGGGAGGGTCAGATCTTGGGGATGTTCACTGTGGCTAGTGATATGATATACATATATATATATTATGTATATATATATATGTATGTGTATATATATATACATATATGTATATATATATATATACATAGTGACATTTGATTATAAACTATCCTAGAAGCATCCTGATATTTCAACTGTAGCGATATTTGATTAGTGCCTTCCGGATGTTAATTTTGGGTTGGTGTATTACGATACGTCATTGATAATTGTGGTTACTAAAGTATCATATAGTTATCATATAATGTTAAAATCATAGACCAAATCAACACGCCCTTTTTTCCGGGGAGACCTAATTTGGACCGAGACTCAAGTGGAGTACCAGAGGTATGGATCAACATTGGGCTAGCAATGGATGGTTTGCTACTGAAAATGATCAACATTTGTGCTCCTAGGGCTTCATAGTTGGCTAAATCAGCCAACGTAAATAGGGGATGTAAATGGATGTAACCAGTCTGACACCGAGAATCACAAGGATTTATCATAGTATGCGGCTGTATAATCATAGGGATGCTGTTTTCGCAAGACATCGCACAGCCACACCAATGACATTAGACTAGTAAATAGAAACTCGTGAGCCCACATCAAAGCGAAAAGAACTCAGGAGTGCGCTGAAAAACCCCGGAAACTACTATTCAGCAGCTCTGGAAAAGAATCAACTGCCCAAAAGAGGAGCATTTGTCGAGGTGGAGCGGTTTACATAGCTGAAGGCCATGCCAGAAGTGGAATATATAATGATCCGCCGAGCCGCGTAAGTTGATTGCAAAGCTCACCAAAACATGTCCCAGCTTTGGCAGAGAAATCCACCGGATGTTCGGATTTCACAATGAGTCTACAAGCAAGCAAGACAGCAACCAAGACAGGGATACAACCAGCCTTTTTTTTTACGGAAGGTGTGTGCATACCAAGCTTGGTATTACCATGAAGATACATACACGGCTTGCTGATGTGTTTGTCAGCTGTTCTAAATCCAAACAATACCGTAATAGTCATTGCATGTTCCTGCGCACAAAATAGAGGCAACATCATTTTTAGACAAAATACGGCAAAACAAGGATTGATCCCAGAATTGGTCCCGAAAATGTGTTTCATTTCATCGGAAGAAACCCTGGTTTGAATCATTTTAATCGTAGATTTTCCCAATCAACCCGTGAATAACCCATCGAGCGAGGAGGTGGAGCAAGTTGAGCCGCTGCCGGAAGAGGTCTTGCAACAGGCGGGCCCCAGAGAAGTTATCAAGAAAAGCTTGGGATTTCTGGGGAAATTCACCATGAAAACATGGGATTTTTATAGGGAATTCACCATCAACATTTGAATTTTTTTAGGGAGTTTACCAATCATAATCAGGGCTGTTCCAACCTATTATAGGTCAGGTCTGTGTTCCTCTTTATTTTCCCAGAGTTACCCCCAATTTTGACAGAGTTTTCACCATTAAAATTGCATTTTTTTGGTAGTATATACCCCATTTTCAGTCGCACCCAGATCACAAATTGAAACGACTAATCCTCCATTGGGTGAAAGATTTTGGAGCTTCTCAATGCCCTTGAGACAACTCAGACTAGCCACCCCAAAAACAATATGATGCAGATTTCGAAAACAAGAAATCTGCAGGATTTGTGATACGGGCTGAAAATGGTTAATGGCCGTTTCAAGTTTCAATAGGGAAAATAAATGACAAACACAACATGTTTGGGGTACCCTATTTTCAGATGAACCGACGTATTTGATGCCATAATATGAAGGTTCAGCCCAAACATGGCCCAAGAATCCACGTAGCTGGAATGTGTAGCTATATCCCCTTTGGTATCCTTTGGTCGTATTTCCCCCAGCCAACATAGGTAACTAAACTCCCTTGGCTTGACGCTATGACTTCCTTTGACTTTTCCTTCTAGAAGCTTTTCTGTAGCAGCCTCTGGGAGCATGTAGGCATGGTGACCTTGGATTCTGTGGACCTGGCAGAGCTTGTCAACCTGCCTGGGCAGGTCCAAAAGATTGCAAACAAGTCATTGCCCGAGACATTTGGCCATGCCCCACAGTTTAGCCGCTTAGCCCAGAGTCATGCCCCGTTTCTTGTTTTCTACGGGGTTCTTACCACAACCAGCTCACACAGTGATGCCCCCTACCTCGCTAAGTTTGTAAACATACGTAACTCGACTAACTATAGGTTCTGATATATCGATATATCGAACTAGCGAGGTTTAACATGGTTTAACCCACCACGCATTTCACCGAAATAGGGATACCACCTGGTAGCTACGAGCCCTTGCTGGGGATAGGTGAAAGAGATGGCCAAGCAGATCCAAAGTCCATACTTCACCATCGACCTGGCCGAAACGGACTCAGGACCTTAGCTATCGCCGCAACAGAGCGATAGCTCCGAATTGGAGAGTTTCTGTGGGACTGCCATCCATGGGGGTTCCATGGCAAAATGGATGGTTTATGATGGTTTATAAATGTTTATACATGTTTATTTCCTGGAAATTCCATGAAAGAATGGATGATAACATATGATAACTAGGGGCAGCCTTATTTCAGGAAACCTCCTCAAATCATGAATAACCAACGGATGTTGGGGTTAACGGTAAGGGCTTGTTCAAAGCGACTGGTTGAACTACTTCCGTTTTGATTTAATCATATATCATATATATATATGGATATATATGGATATATATATATATATTATATGGAGTTATATGGATATATATATATATATCCACACATATATACATATATTCCTGTGAAATCGTTACTGAGGACTGATCAAATCATGCTGGCCAAAATAAATCAGTTGCTTTCCCCTAACGTTGTTGGAATAGTTCTTCAAATATCAAGAGATATCAAGTAATATCAAGTCTCCAAATATTCTTCCGGCGTCTTTTGTGGCCGTTCTGCCCTGGTCGTTTTGGTCAGAACGACCAGCTCGTGTGGGTTTTCCAAGCCTCCAGGAGCTTGGATCATCCTGGAAGCAGGGGATGGCGGTGTTTCTGGCTTGGCCACGTCGCAGGAGCTCCACGAACTGCTTCACTGTGGCGATTCCCTGGGGATAATCCTTTGGGCATTCTTCGGGCATTCTTCGTAGATTTTTCGTAGGCGATCCCCGATTTTCATCCCGGGGCTCGTGATGTTCGTGTCCTGCCGGTGAAACCGCTATTCATTGCCAATCTTACGCTGCAAAAATCTGCAAAATAGATTCAAGATTCTGAGCTGGTGAACGTAGCTCCGAAAATCACATCACATCGCAACGGGTTTTCTTGGATTCAACGATCCCCATCTACGGTTGACCCAGATTTATGGGGATTATTGGGGAATCTTTAATCATTAACTACAATAATCCCCGATTCAATGTTGGATGCCATGATTCTGAACATGTTGCGAAAAAAACAGGCTGTTAACCATCATTTGTAGTGCTTTTAGCCTTTTAGCCGTCAATAATATTAGGATACAGTTGATACATGATGATTAGCTGATGATTTTGCGGAGATTATACTCTCCAAAATCAATTCAGGATTTTCACAATCCATGAACTGGGAATCCAGTTCTTAAACAACCAGTACTATAGGGAGTGACGTACCGAGCTTTGCACACCGCTCATTTGACCCACAAAAATATGGTGCTAAAAAAAATCTGCAAAGACGGAGATAATGATTGAATTGATTTACAGTAGTCAAACAACTGGTGAGTGTTGAACATATTTAAGTGTCTTGCCATGTTTATGGAAAAACAACTTGTTTTGCAGGGAACGGTGTCAAACCTTCCAAAAGAAGTTAAAAGAAGTAATAATTTTCCTGTGCAAGTTGGGGATGAGTTCTTGCCTGGTAAGCCGTAAGTATGCAATGTTTTAGACATTTCACGAAAAACAGCAGGTTTCCAAACGGTACCTGTTTCGGTGGACAACTGCACAAAAATTACGGTTTTCATTTTTTTTCTCGGAAATTTAGTGGAATTGTGTCATGTGCATGTTAAACTTGCATCCTGTCGATTTCCAGTGTTCATTCTCGAAACATGGGTTGAAGGACTCTTGATACTTGCACCAACCGGTTTTAGGCCCCAAAGCCTTTTTTGGTGGTATTTCAAGTTGGCTGGCAGACATGGCAATGGAAAATCCTGGTTTGTCAGTTTGATCATTTTCCCAGTCAATGACAATTTTGCTGGATCTGGTGGTTAGCCATGTGTCAAAAAGCTCAAGGTCGATGGGAATAAAACCACGAATTGCTCATGACGAATGCGAAGGATCCGCAAGACCATTGGAAATATCTGTACCAATATTTCCAAGACACTTGAAAAACGTATCAATAATAATCAATACATATACATATACATATATAAAATAATAACATATATACATATATACATATATACATATATACATATATACATATATACATATATACATATATACATATATACATATATACATATATACATATATACATATATACATATATACGTATATACATATATACATATATACATATATACGTATATACATATATAGAGATATATAAATATATACATATACACATATATCTATATATATATACATACATATATACATATATACATATATATATACATATATACATATATACATATATACATATATAGATATATACATATATACATATATATATATATACATATATACATATATACATATACACATATATACATATATACATATATACATATATAGGGATATATAGATACATATATATATATAGATACATAGATACATATATATAGATACATAGATACATATAGATACATAGATACATAGGTACATAGATACATAGATACATAGGTACATAGATACATATAGATACATAGATACATAGGTACATAGATACATAGATACATAGATACATAGATACATAGATACATAGATACATAGATACATAGATACATAGATACAGACATACAGACATACAGACATACAGACAGAGACAGACAGACAAACAGAGACAGACAGACAGACAAACAGAGACAGACAGACCGACTGGCTGGCTGGCTGGCTTGCATGCTTGCGAGCATTGCATGCTTGCGAGCATTGCATGCTTGCGAGCATTGCATGCTTTGCGAGCATTGCATGCTTTGCATGCATTGCATGCTTTGCATGCATTGCATGCTTTGCATGCATTGCATGCAATTGCATTGCATGCATTGCATGCAATTGCATTGCATGCATTGCATGCATTGCATGCATTGCATGCATTGCATGCATTGCATGCTTGCATGCTTGCATATATTTACATAATTACATACTTACATACTTACATATTTACATACTTACATACTTATATACTTACATACTTACATACTTACATACTTACATATTTACATACTTATATATATACATACTTACAAACATACAAACATACAGACAAACACACAGACACACAGACACACAAACACACAAACACACAGACACAGACATACAGACACACAGACACCCAAACACACAGACACACAGACACACAAACTCGCAGACACACAAACACACAGACACACAAACACACAGACACACAGATATATTTCTAAAAAATATATATTAAATTAGATTTTTAAATTTATAATGCATAATATGCTATTTATTATTTAATATTTATTAATTTGAATATAATAATTTATTTATTAAGGTAGTTTGTGCTAGAGCGACGTGGAGATATAAAAGAATTTTTTAAAAAAAAATATAGAATAAAAAATACCGTGAATAAATAAATATATATATTTTAAAACATTTTTTTTAGCTATAGGATATATATTTATTATAT